AGGGGGGGGGCCGAGAAGGGCCACGTTACCTTCGTCAGCTGCTGCTCCGACGAAAACCCCAAACCAAACACCGTGTTGGCTCTGCTGTCGGCCCACTGCCCGAACTTCTGCGACGTTTTGGTGAAAGTCATATTGGGTGTGATTGTGCTGTTTATAATCACCTGCAGGAAGACAGCCGGAGAGTGGAGATGTGAACACCGAGTCAGACACACAGTGCCTCCCTGTCTCTGCGGGTAAAGCCAGGACCTGGCGCAGAATGCAGGCCCCCCACCCTCCCCGACCGGGACATCCGTCCCGACTTCTCGCGCTTCTGGCACCTCCCACACTGAGTCAGGTACACAGCCACGATGAGGGGCAACGCCAGAGACTTAAAAACAGACTCTCAGCCTAAAATAAGAACTTACAAGTTACCAGTGGGAGAAAGTCTCTCCTAAGTCTAGTTTCCAAAATTGCTCTTCATTTGCCCAAAGCTGCCAGGCACCCAATTGCCCTTGACGGCCAGCCAGGTCACACATTCGCTGAAGAACGTCATGTCGTACCTTTTTAAGCACCTGGCGTCCCAGTGTCCAGCTCAAACAACTTAGTGTCCATAAGCAATTGGGCCTCGCTGCTTCGCAACAGGGAGGGAAGGATGCACCCCAAGTGGGATGATGTTTGGAGGGTTGATTTACAAAGAGACTACGTATGCAGGCATGAGCTGGGCGTGGGGAGAGTGAGGGACAGGGGAGGGACCTGGTGCTGACCATCGCCCCTCCATGGCCTAAAAGGACGAGGGAATAGAGAGGCTATAGAATGTGGCCTGGCCGGGGTGACTCAGTGGTTGAACGTTGACCTATGAACCAGGAGGTCATGGTTTGATTCCTGGTCAGGGCACATGTCCGGATTGCGGGCTTGATCCCCAGTGGGGGGCCACAGGAAGCAGCCGATCAATGATTCTCTCTCATCATTGATGTTTCTCTCTCCCTCTCTCTCCCTCTCCCTTCCTCTCTGAAATCAATAACAAAATATTTTTAAAAAATCATATCCAGTCCTAGCTGGGTTGGCTCAGTAGATACAGCATCAGCCTGCAGACTAAAGGGTCCGGGGTTCGAGTCCGGTCAAGGGCACATGCCCGGGTTGTGGGCTCGATCCCCAGTAGGGGACCTGTAGGAAGCAGCCAATCAATGATTCTCTCATCATTTATGTTTCTATCTCTCTCCCTCTCCCTTCCTCTCTGAAATCAATAAAATATATATATATATATTTTTTATATATTTAAAAAGAGAGGCTATAGGACGTGGAGAGTCCTGGAGAGCAGGCTGCCATGAAAAGAGAGGTGACCTTCTGTGGAAGACACACCAGCAAAAGCAAACACCCTCGCCCCCTTGCCTCTGATCTCCTGCCATCGGCCAAACCCAAGCAGAAGCCAGAGGCCCCGCAGGCCAGCCTCTCGGGGCCGGAACAGGGCAGAGGATGAGTCAGGAGGGGTGGGAGGAGGACTTCCAGCACGCGGTGATCACTCATTCATTCGGCACAGCTTCCTCTCTGCACTGCACGCCAGGCATGCTGCCAGCACAGACACGAAGACGAATGAGTCCCGATTCCTGCTCTTCACCTTGCAGGTGGCCAGGAAGAGGGTAGAGACAGGTAAACAAATAGTCACCAAAGAACCGATGTGTCATAAAGTCTCAGTAATAGGCTCCCTCTGACAGAAATCCTTGGAAGCCCTAAGACTCTAGGAAACACTCCAGAAAAACGCCCTTGGAAATCAAGGATTCTTGGATGTCTGCTAAGCAGCATAATCACTGTGTATAAAACGAGAACTGAGCCTCCCTCAGTCCCCAGGCCCCCCCTCCTCACCCCCATCCCCAGGACGTCCCTCCCACCCACACACCTGCACGGGCACGCACCACCGAGGCCTCTCGCTCCGGGCACACGCACTGTTACCCTTGCATGTTGCGGTGGGAGTGTCTCTGCCCCCTCATCCCCTACGGACTGGCCTGCTCCCAGGGGCAGGGGGATGGCTTTGGTCCTGGGTCATTCTGTCACCAGCATCAAGGAGCCCAGGCATTTCCCAAACACAACCTACAGGATCCCAGGCGCTGGAGGTCAGCCAAGGAGGCGAAGGAAGCCTGCTCCTCCCACCGGCTGCTCTTGCAATCCCCCAGGCGGGTCCTGCAGGCTTGGCAAAGCCCTGGCTCTCGGACAGCTCGCCAAAGGCCCTGGGGCT